TGTCGCCCCCGCAAGGCCTAGGAGCTCTTGAAGCAGCTGGGAGCAGCGGAGGGTAGAAGAGAAAATGGGCAAGGAACAAAAGACCAGGGGATGCAGATGGGTCCTCTGGGCACCTCAGCGCTGAGCTTATGCCCACCACCCGCCCCCCGTCTGCTCGGGAAGCCCTTCCTGCTTCCTGTAGCTGCTCCTTTGGGTCTAAGGATGGGCGTGAGTGTCTTCTAACCGAACACTGATTTCCTTCCCTCCGTCATGAACCCTGAGATGGGGCCTCCTTCTCATCTGCTCTGAGCCTAGGCAGTGCTTGGTCACTGCCTGGGGCAACGTGCTGTACACCTAGCTGCACACACTGGCCAGAGGCACAGCTTGACATGTCAGCACCCACGGGGGGTCCGGCTGAGGCCCGTGTGCCCCAGGCGGTCCGGGGGTCGCGGAGAGCTGGCTCAGCAGGTTCCAGTGCCTAAGAGGAGGCGGAATCTGTCACCGCAGTGGGGATGATCCAACGCCTCTGGCAACTAATACCCCGGGGACCCTTCCCTGGGTGCCCAGTGTCCAGCCGGGAGGTGGCAGTTGCAGAGTGGACACAGCAGCATGCTTTCAGCGGCTGTCACATCCAACCTGGGTGACCTCCAAGCCAGGGTGTACGGCAGTCTGCAGGGAAGGAGCTGGTGAGGACTCAGGGTGTGTTAGCTGGGGGACACGTAGCTGGGGGGTGTGCATGCCCTGGGGTGCAGGACAGAGGCTCTGAGCTGGGGACTTTGGGGGTGAGTTTTATTTACTCCTCTTAGGTTCAGGACCCCACAGATGGCATACGTCGCCCCTGCTGCTGCTGCCATGGGTCCCTACCGCCCCGACTCCTGCGCTGAATCAGCCCCTCCCCTCGCCCCTCCCTCTATGACCTCTGTCCTCCCTCGAAAGGACTGTCACCTGCTCTTTGCTGGGAATAGTACCCTTCCTTGCACATAGTAGAGGAGGACCCCACACACCGGCAGAGCTAGCTGGAGCTGGCCCGGGGCGTCCTTTTCAGATCTTCATGAGCTCTGCATGCCAGAGACCCACAGAGTGGGCCCACATCTGTGCTGCTGCCAGCGGCAAAGCCCTCCCAACATGGCACTTCATCTGTGGCTCTGTCTGTCCTGCCGCCTGCCCAGTGCCAGGCTTCATTAGGATGTCCAAAGCCGGCTGTCCAGGTCCACCGGGCTGGGTAGAAGACCGGCAACAGGGGCTCCACACGGCCTCTTATTTCTGGTGGAGAGAGCAGAGGCGTGGGTCCTGGCCACACTGCTTCCTTGCTGTGTGACTGGAGGCAAGGGACTCCCCTTGAGTCCTGTGGACCCTTGTGTACCCGCTAGCCATCCCAGGCAGGGCTGAGAGGCGGGGGTTGGATTCTCATAGGAAACTTGGCTCTGCCATGGCCTCTCTTTACAGGCTAGAATCCGCCACTGTTTAATAGGAACTCAGCCTCCCTGTCTGTAATATTGGACAGTTTCTAAACCAGGATGCATAGGAGGAATGGAGCCGTCAAATATCAGGAGTGGCAGGCAGCACACAGAGATCACTACAGTTCACAGGCGGCTGTCACGGCTTGTGTCTAGATCCCCCCCCCAACTCTCGTTCACTCCCAAGTGGGGCTTTGCAGAGGTGGCTGCATCTAGGGTGTGTGATAACTGAATTAGTCCACTGATTGGTTTAGAATCGTTCTGGGTGTGGATAATGACAAGGTCCAATAATGACAGACGAACCCAAAGGATTGTAGCCTGGATGGGACATAAGACAGAAAGGGGGAAAAGAGGCTCACTGCTGCCTTCACTGCCTCCTGCCTGCCCTGCCATGGACTGTCCTCTGCAGTGCCCTCTGCCACGCTGCCCTTCTTTGGCACCAGCTATGGACTGAAATCTCTATAGATATGAGCTAAAACAAACCTTTAATTTGGGGATGTTTATTTTTTAATTTTTTTTTTCTGGTACCGGGGATCGAACTCACGACCTTGCGCTTGCCGGGCAGGCGCTGTGCCGCTGAGCTAAACCTCCAGCCCCCAACCTGGGGACATTGAATATTTTGTTTTAGCAATGAGAAAATAACTAAAACTGTGGCACATGATGTGCCAATGCTTATTTGTACAGTAGGTAACTCACAGAGTGACGTCTGCTGCGATGAGCTCAAGTAAATGTTAATTTTGATTCCTTTTATATTTCCGTGGTAAGGCAGGAACCCAAATGACCTGGGAACCTTTCTCTAGAGAGGCTGTTTCTGGCTAACCTGCTGTTCTGACTTCCAAAATGTGTCCACCCCCGATTCCTGGTTGGGAGGTCAATGCATCCCTGGAAGTCATCCCTGCAGCCACCTCTGGCCTGGAAGGCCCTACAGAGTGATAGCATTTTTTTTTTTGCACCGGGATTCGAACTCAGGACCTGGTGCTTGCCAGGCAGGCGCTGTGCTGCTGAGCTATATCTCCGGCATGGAAGGCCCTACAGAGAGTGGACAGGCCCAGGAGCTGCAAAATTTTGGGCATCCTGCCCAGTGGGCCAAGAGGGGTTTTGGGGTGTGGACCGAATGACCCTCAGGGCAGTGAGTGTTGGAGGCTGGTATAGACAGGGAGACACAAAGCCCAGGAGTGAATTACTTGGAGCCGGAGTGACCCAGAGGCGCAGGTTTGGGAATCACATTACTGTACTCCCCAAAGGGGCGGGGTCACTGTACAGGAAGCAAGATAATACAGGGCAAATGACAGACGCTGAGAAGCATGACGGGGTGCTCAGAGAGGCTTTCTGAGCAAGCTTCTTGAGCAGAAGGGGGCGTGGTGTCACGGCCTCTCAGCGGGAGGCCGAAGCAAGCCTCAGGCCCTCCCTGAGCCCGTGGTGCTGCAGCCTGCCAGGCTGTGGAGAGACAGGTGTGCTGGGGCTGGGAGAGAACGCAGAGTGAGGGGATGCAGATGACCGGTCCCAGGGGAGGCTGGGTAGCGCAACTGCTCCGGGCAGAGGCGTCTGCTTGACAGCACTGGAGGGTGACGGGAATCCCAGACTGAGGGTGAGCCGGGACACAGCAGCTCCAAATCTGAGGCACGAACAGAGAAGTCAGAACGACTTGCTACAGCTGTCTAGCCAGGGTGGGGAGAGGAGGAGGCTGAGGCAGGCTGTGAGAGGCCTTGGGTGCCAGGTGAAGGGGTTTCCTCTGTAGGCAGAGCCCTGGGAGGGTTTTAAACAAGGTGTTGGAATCATCATTCTGGTCCTAGCAGGGTGGTGATGGGGCCATGCAGGAGAGGCCCAGCCAGCTCAGGAGGTCAGAGTCAGCAGGGTTCTGGAAGGCAGAGGCTGAGGGAAGACTCACGGGCTTTCCTCAAGGAGCCGTGCCAGGTCCAGGTCTGCCTGGGCTGTGAGGGGGCAGCGTGTGGCTGGAGCACAGGATGAATGGTGTGGGGGTGTGGGGGAAGGACTGTGATTGCTAATGAACCCATCACTGACGGTTGGCTTATGATATACACAGCCGTGCTGATTGCATGTGGTGCGGGGTGTGGGAGGCTCGCCCGAGGATGGTTACCATCAGCTGAGAGGCAGAAATGGAAAGGGATAATGAATTTCTCCCGTTGGTCTGAGTTACGTTATGGGTTCTAATAAAAGGTGATTGAGATGGGTGATCGAGGCTCTGCTGCGGTCCCAGAGGCCGTGGGCCCCCTGATCCCAGACTTTTGCCTCTTCTGTTTTTCTTATCGTTTACCTTTTCTTATTCATCCGTGGGTACCTTGTTCTCGGGACCTGTCACTACAGATAATACCAACATGGGAGGTGTGGCTGAGCCACCCCACCGAGTATCTTCAGATTCTAGGCCAAGGAGCTTGGATTTCATCGCATGGCCAGTGGGGGCCATGGGAAGATTCTGAGCGGACACAGTTGGAGAAGGATCTGGCAGGCCAGTGCAGGGAAGGACCTGGAGGCCGGGGATTCCAGGGAGCAGACTGGAGCTGGGGTCCTGGTGAGGGAAGGCCAGCAGAGACGCAGCGGGAAGTGAGGCAACTTGGCGCTTGTCCGCTCTGGGAAGGAGCTGAGGGTGTGCGCTCTTTGCACTTGTTGCAGGTGAGGTCTCTGCCAAGATCAGTAGTGTGACAGGCCAGGTTTCTGCAGCAGAGGGGAGAGAATAGGAGATGATAGTGACAGGACAGCAGGTGTAGCCTGCCTAGCTGACCCCCTCATCACAGGCTGCAGGGACAGCGTGTTACTTGAGCTGAGATCTAAACGGCCAGAGAGGCACCATCCTTGTGAGGGACAGAGAGGAACATCCCGGAGAGCAGAAGAGCAAACACAAGGCCCTTGGTTTCTCTTGTGGTTTTCTGAGACAGGGTATCACTATGTAGCCCAAACTGGCCTAGAACTCTTGATCCTCCTGCCTCAGCCTCCCGAGTGCTACGATTATAGGCGTGCCCCACCTTCCCAGCCTACACAAACGCCCTTGAGATGGGCGGGGTGGTGGGCTGAGCTGAGGAAAGGCAGCAGGGCACTGACCAGGGGGTCCAGGCGGCCAGTGTCAACTCTATATGGGTTCCTAAAGGCCTCCGGGTTCTATTCTAAGCAAAGCGAGAAGGATTTTAAGTCAGGAGACCTAAGAAGGAATCTGGGGGTTTAAAAGCATATTGCCATGCTGGCACAGAGAGAAGTGATTGGCGGACCCGGTGGGTGGGCAGGCCGTTGCCCTGAGCCAGGGGTGAAGGTTGGCGTGGGGCGGGGCAAGGGTGGGCGCTTGCTGAGGGCCTGCCTGCAGTGTGCAGTGACCGCAGGCTGTCCCCGCGCCGGCTGGCTGATCTTCACCCAATCGCGGAGCTCCCGTAAGACAGGGATCCTCCAGTACCGACCTGCTGAACCTGCTTCGGAGGTTCGGGACATTCAGTGGTGGCTGTCACCGAGGAAGGGCTCAGCTAACGGTCACTGTAACGTGTGGCCCAGCCGAGAAGCATCCCTCCCCTGCCCTCGGCCGTGCTGGGTGGCTTCGTCTGGGCAGGCGGGGTGGCTCGGTGCAGAAGACAGACTGAGCGTGGCTCTGCCCGCGGGACCTCGGGGAGCTCACTGGCCAGCGCTGTCCCCTCGCCCTCCCGCAGGCTGCTGCGTGGGAGGGGCGGGCTGCGGCGGCGGAACCTTCGAGCTTGGCGCGCGCGTTTCCGGCCGGCGCCTTTTCCCACGGACGCCGCCGCCCCCCTGCGCCCCCCGTGCCCCGCCGGTCCCGCTTCCCCGGCGCCGCCGGCCCGGTGCTGCCCGCAAGCTCTCCGGACCCGAGAGGCCGCTGCACCGGGTACGGGGGCCGGGAGGGGGGAGGAGGCCGGGCCGGGGACCGCAAAGGCCCGCGGGCGGGGGTGGCGGCGCAGGGGCGGAGGGGAAAGGCCGCGCCGTGGGGACCCGGAGGGATGGGGCCGAGGAGAGGAGCAGGGGCGCCAGGGAGGGCGGAGGGCCGGGGGGAGGGCGCGTGGGCGGAAGGCTGGGCCCCGCGCCCGCCCGGGAGAGGAGGCGGCGCCCGAGGGCCCGAGGTGTCAGTGTCATTACGGGCCGGGGACCGGCGGCCCTGCGGGAACGAGCGGTAGCAAGATGGGAAATAGAAGGCGCGCAGCGAGGCGCCCCCGGGGTTGTGCATGATGGAGGTCGTGTGGGGCGAGGAGGGGGACCTAGAGGCACGCAGTGTGGGACAGGGGAGTCCTGGGTGAAAGTGGGGAACTGGGTTAGTGGGGCTCCGGGGACGCGGGGAGGAGGTGGGGCGGCGACCGCGAGCTGGGGAGCCCGGGGACACCTGGGGGGGTGCGGACGGCGGAGGGTGGGACGCAGCCCGGCCCAGGGTGCAGCGGCAGGAGAGGGGAGGACGCCTGGGGTCGGGTCGCCCCGAGACTGGGAGGAGGAGACGTGAAGCGGGGCGCGAGGAGGGTCCTCCTGCGCCGGGTCCAGCCCCCACGCCGAGCTGCTGGGTGCAGGCGGGGAGGTCGGGCCTGGAGTCAGCGCGTTCTAGCAGGAAGGCCGGTCCGGCGCCGAGAGCGCTGCGCTGGACGGGTCGTCTCCCCGCCGGGAAGAGGCGCCCTTAACTTCTCTCCCCCGCCGCTCCCAGCTCCGCTCCAGATGCTGCTGCTGCCGCCGCGGCCGCCCCACCCTCGGTCCTCCTCCCCCGAGGCCATGGACCCACCGCCCCCCAAGGCTCCCCCTTTCCCCAAGGCGGAGGGCGCGGCTTCCACGCCCTCCTCGGCGGCGGGGCCCCGGCCCCCGCGGCTCGGCCGCCACCTGCTCATCGACGCCAACGGGGTCCCCTACACGTACACGGTGCCGCTGGAGGAGGAGCCCCGGGGCCCGCCGCAGCGCGAAGCGCCCCCCGGGGAGCCCGGCCCGCGCAAGGGCTACAGCTGCCCGGAGTGCGCCCGGGTCTTCGCCAGCCCGCTGCGGCTGCAGAGCCACCGCGTGTCGCACTCGGACCTCAAGCCCTTTACGTGCGGCGCCTGCGGCAAGGCCTTCAAGCGCTCCAGCCACCTGTCGCGGCACCGCGCCACGCACCGCGCCCGCGCCGGCCCGCCGCACACGTGCCCGCTGTGCCCGCGCCGCTTCCAGGACGCGGCCGAGCTGGCGCAGCACGTCCGCCTGCACTGAGCCGCCCGCCCGGCCTCGGCCTCGGCCTCCCCTCCACCCGCGGGAGAAGCCCTTCCTTTCTCTCCCGCCTAGCTGTGTGATGTAGACCAAAGTTGTCGCCCCGCCCTGGCCCGGGAGCGGAGGGAGCTGCGCTCGGCCCGCTGTGCTGCGTGAGCCTTTTCCAGCGCTGCGACCTCTCTGAGCCCTGGTTTTCCGCTCTCCGTAGTGGCGAGCAGTTGTCTTCTGCGTGGAAGGCGCGAGAAAAGAGCGCCGGCACAGTCTGGTTGGCGTCTGTACCCCCCCTCCGCCCACGTCCCCCACATTCCTTGCCCAATAAACATTCCGCACTCCGTCTCAGGCTGGCTCTTGGCTCTTGCGTGTTGGGTGTCGGGCGAGGCTGGGGCACAGGCCGGACCGCGAACACCTAGGAACCTTCCTCTCGCAGTGTGCGTGTTTCCGGCCGGAGCCGCTCCCGGGCGCTCCGCGCGCCCCGCCCCCGCCGTCCGGCCCTGGACCCTCTCCTGCTTCCCTGGGTCTTCGCTCCCTTCACCCGGCGCCGCCGGCCCCCGCGCACACCTGGGGGGCCCCGGGCTTCCCCCGCCCGCAACTGCCAGAGCAGCCGGGGGCCGTCCAGACTCGCCCGGACCCGAGAGGCCGCTGCACCGGGTACG